CCAAAGATTCCTAATATAACCACAAACTAGGTATGTAAAAAGGATAAACGGTAATGGTCGTAAGCGGTAAGCTCGTGCAACTAGCTGGAATAAAACTGTTGAATTCCTAATAGTTCCATGATCTACGTAAACAAAAAACACTGAATTACCTTATTCGATCGTTTCATGGCGAATACCATACTTTTACAATCTGGCGAAAAAGACACATGTGTAGCAGTATCGAAATCCAAGATTTGACGAACGCTTTTGTGTTCCTTTTCTTCAAAATCCTGAAATTGGGCTCTTAGACACACGTGATCTAAAAAGCGAAAGGATGAAGACACCTGAGCGTTGATCAATTCCCTCTGTGATGCGGCACGCATTCTACTTCCACTCATAATCATCACGGCTCTTGAATGCTATTTGGCCTATCAATGACGGGCCCATAAAATGGGATACGGATGAGTGCTTCAAAGAACAGGTCAGTGTTTTCTGTACTCCTAAACGACTCTGGTATCAACAGACAGGCGAAATGGGAGGGGGGGGGGTGGTGGAAGGCTTGTTAGGACTGTATCAAACCACGGATGCTTCCGCCCAGGTCAATCAAACCCTCCACCTTCCGGGACGGGTACTGTTACCCGATTCGTCCCAGGGGATAAAAACACTGACTTATAGATCGGTTGGCCTCCACAAGTCATACTGTAGCCCATATCGCAATCATTAAGCAACTATGATTCTGAGTGAAAAGGGGGCCACATCCCAAAAAGGGATTGATCAACAGGAGGGCTCCTTTTTCCCATGCTTAGCTGGGCACAGTCGGTTCTTACTTACCCTTGCATCCCACAGGAAAGCAGCTCTATCTGTGGAGACGGTAACGAACTTCTTTCCATCTTGAGCAAAGTCCATACCGGTAACATCAGCAGTATGTCCCTTTAAAGTTGTCACAGACCATGGATGGTCATAGGAGGCATCCTTCATCTGAAATGTTAAAAATGAATGGTAAAGGAATTATGGAGCAGAAAAACATGAAGAGGATTCCACTGCATTAATGCAACTCTTAATGTTATAAAGTTATAATGCGGCGAAATTTTTTTAAAAGTGGGCGGGGTCGTCGGGGCGAATTCAAATGTACCCTCATGGAAATCCAACAATGTATATGTGTGACGCAGAGAAATTTTGAAGAGCTAGTGCAAGTACCTAGGGAGAAATTGTGTGTAATGCAAGTGTAAATCATGGTCGCGGCAAAAAAGGGAGTGGCTATCTGGGGCGGGGAGGTCTACCGTGTGCAGCGAACAGTGTAGTGGGAGCATCGCAGAAGAAAGCGAAAAACTCGCTTCGCGAAATAGTCCGAAAGACATGAAAACAGTTCCACTGCATTAGTGCGATCCCTAAAAAAAGCTCCGTAAAAGTTAATATGAAGATCTGGAAAGTAATATGAGGACAGGAATGAGGGGGATTGTACCGAAGGAAGATGGGTTGTATTTTACAAGACTTGACAACAACGGCGGGACGTACCTTGCTCCTGAGCCCCAAACAACTTGATAGGCAGCATTTGGTACACAAGGGATAAACATCCAGATGTGACCCGATTGTTTTTGATAGGATTTTAGTACACGTGCATTTTTCCGAGCATCTTTATTCCATATTCCTTATCAGCCGTTGTCTGCTCATCTCTTGCCCCTTCACGCTGAATGATTTATTCTTGTCAACTGGTTCTTCGCCTTTCTAATGCGCTACATCGTCAAAAATCAAA